TGGCGCAAGAGCACTTGGAAGTGGGTGCTGGAGCGTCAGTTGCTCCGAAAAAAAATGCCTGGAACCGCTAGTGCACCAAGATGTAGGCGTAGGAGCGCCGGAAGTTGGGCGCACCCATAGCTTGGCGTTGGAGCGCCGGTTGCTTGGGTTCTTCCGCTGCGGTGTTTTAAATCATGCTCCACACCATAATAGAAGTGCGTTTTCATGTATGGATAAGAATAGATAAGATGGTATATATGTAAATCTAAGATAGAAGATGAAGAAAAAGTCATTACTTAACTCATCTTACTTCAGATCCTTACTAACAACAGTAAGGAAGAGATGCCACGGCCCCTGTTCTCCTTGTCTTCTCCTTCGCTACTCTTAGGTCCTTATGCGGCCTCCTTCAGTCTAATTTGCGATCACCGGTTTGGTCTTATCAGCGATTTATAGGAAGAAAGAAGAATGCAACATAAATGGCTACACAAAAGAAAATGCCCGTATGCTAGAAAATAAACTACGCTACTGTAATGACCATGTACAAGTAGACATGAATTTAAACAGCTGAATACAAAGCACCGAAGACTTGATAAAATTTCATCAAGAATCACCTCTGATATATATTACTTATGGTGCTATTAATTTATTAAATTTGCAACTAGCTTGGAGCTTTTTTGTGGTAATGACAGACATTTTCTAAATTTTTTTAATTTGGCTTCAACAATTGATTTGTGGAAGTTTATGAAGAAAGAATCACCTCTTATGTATGCGACTTAAGATTGTTATTGATTGATGAACTCTGTGAGAGTAACCTAAAAATTTTTGTGGTGATGATGGTGATATTTTGTTCTTCAAATGGGACTACCTGAGCTTTGGTAATTTTTCTAATTTTGAGACATTTACTCATTTTGATTAAGGCGATGTTTGGCTTAGGGGCTGTTTGGTTTGTTGGAAATGAAATGGAATGTAAAAGATTTACAGAGTACTCAGATCGCAGTTTATTCTGAATATTTGAAATAGTAATGCAATGTAAAAGGTTTGCATGGTACTCAGATTACAGTGTACTTTGAATATTTTGAAATAGTAATGTAATGTAAAAATAATTTATTGTTCATTATAAAATGAATTTTGGACTTCTCATTTTTTGCTTGATTTGAAGAAAATAAAATCAATGCATAATACTTTGTTGGCGGGTGGTAGTCGTCAGTGGGCGGGGGGGTCTTTGTAGCTGCGGGAAGCGGCTAGGCAGTGGCTGTGGGTGGCGGACAGAGGTAGGCTACTGGCGGCAAGTTGTGGCGGCGGTGGCTGACAACGACGAGCAACTCTTTAGACAAGGCAGTCCCAACTCCAACAAATTCCAAATACTTTGAAAATGAACTAGAAAATGAATTCCAAATACATTGTAATTTTACACTATATTTAGAATTCATACTTCCAAGCATCAAGATATTTAGAACTCCTACAAAAAGGTATGCAGTGCACTCCATTTGTAATAGACCTAGCAGCCCCTTAGTAATATTGTAATTCTTTTTTTTTTTTAATTTTTTGAGATGTCTAGTCATTCATTTATGTCTCTTCACCACTTTCTTTTGTTGATTCTTTTGATTGTTGTAAAATTAGCTTACTGGTTCCAATTGTGCAACGTCACTTAATGATTCATAGCAGTCATGCACTCTGTTAACAGCATGCACACATAGAATTTGGGCAATTATTTAAATTTAGCCGTGTAATTGTCGGTGGCTTGACTTTAATTCTATGGCATTGGTTGATTAAATCATGGTAACTACTCCTTTACTGTATAGTGTATTACATTTATTATTTTATAATTTTATTTGATTGATTGAAAATATGGACTTAAGCAAATAATTGAGAGGCGCAATGCGACAAAAAGTAATATGCATTTGAGCAATGCGAGTAAAATTGCATAACAAGATTAACTAGTGTTGGCTAATATCCAAGCAAAGAGTAGAATTATGTGAAGTCACTGGACGACTTTAGTTCTGCTTGTTGAGTTATGGTGAGTAGCTTCAATGCTTCGGAACCTTGCCCGTTCTTCAATTCGGGCTGCTTCCCCAAGTTAATTATGCATCTTAGATTCTGCTATATCATTGAAAATGTCTTGAGCTCCTCATTTATCATTTTCATTTCCTTGAAGAGCTAATACTGTTATGGCTGAAGTAGTTATTATCTGATCCTGCCTTCCAGAATTTTCACCTTTTAAGTTATTTATCAGTTTATAATTGTGAACTTGAGTTGTGGGAACTCTTTGATTTTGAAAAGCTTCAACATTTCTTGTATTTGTTTCTCTGTTTCTATAAGTTTCAATTATGTAAAATTTAGCTACTTTATGTTGAAGAAATGTTCATGGTCTCTTCTAAATCTGAAGAAATGTTTATTGTCTCTTCTAAATCTTCTCATTTATTGGTTTTCTGTGATTTCTGATTTGTGATAAAAAAAAGATTCAATTGAAAGGTCATCATTAAAGACAGGGAAGAGTAAAGACGGAAGAGTAGAGAAGAGACGTGGAGTATATTAACTTTTCCCTACTCCTCAAAGGCATACAGTGAGTACCTTATATAGTGCTTAGAGAAAATTTTAGCAACAGAAACATCATTTTCTAAGGTGGTCCCCAACGGACAGGAGGATATTATGAAGGGACAGGAGGATATTATGAAGGTAGCGGAGCCATGGTCTCGTGCTGCTGGCTCCCTATATGATTTGGTTATTACCCCCTCATCAAGTTTAGGTGTTTTTGATTTAATCCGAAGCTTGGCTTTAAATTGGTTGAAGCGTGGCTTGCTTAAGGATTTGGTGAAGATATCAGCTGGCTGATCCTGGGCATGAACATAGTGTATTTAGAGTTGACAGTCATTGATGTGCTGCCAAATAAAGTGATAATCAATTTCAATATGTTTGGTTCGAGCGCGGAATATGGTATTGTTCGCAATGGCCAAAGCCAATACATTCTCGTAGAACAGTTTAGTTGGACAAATATGTTCAGCGCCAAGTTCTTTTAGGAGTCGTCTTAGCCATATAATTTCAGCAGTTGCAGCCGCTAATGCTCGATGCTCTGCTTCTGTGGAGGAGCGCGGGACAGTGTGTTGCTTCTTTAAGGTCTAAGAGATACATTTTTTACCTAGGAACAAGCAAAACACAGTTATTGATTTTCGATCTGAAGAGTGCCCTGCCCAGTCTGCGTCTGAAAAGGGTTGAAGCTGCAGATATCCATGGGTAATGCGGAGCCCCGAGGTAGCAGTGCCCTGTAGATACCGTAGGAGGCGTTTAAGGAGTTGGTAGTGATGAGTAGAAGGATTATGCTTGTGTTGACACAGTTGGTTGACCGCAAAGGAGATGCCATGATGGGTAGTAGTAAAAGGTGTTGTAGTGCTCCGGCTGTTCACGATCATTTATTTTAGCAGGTAAGGGGGTTGATATGGGTTTACAGCCGAACATAGCTGTATCGGAAAGAATGCATTAGAGGTAGCATTGCTTACTAAGGAGCATGTAGTCGTATGTACGTGTAACGTCAATCCCAAGAAATCTGCAAACTTGCCCCATCTGCTTTACCAGAATTTGAGAAATTAGTTGGCAGTGACATCCTGAATGGCAGTAGAACTGTTTCCTGTTATGTTGATGTCATCCAGAAAGATAAGTACAAATATATGCTGGTCCAATTTCTTGTAAACGATTAAAGATGAATCCACCTTGCTGGTATGAAAGCTTAGGTTGAAGAAAAATTCAGAGATGGTTGCAAACCATTGCCTTGGGGATTGTTTTAACCTGTATAAAGCTTTCTTCAGGAGACATACATGATTTGGAAAATCTGGATCAGTGAAGCCTTTGTGTTGTTCCTTGTAGGACGTTTCATTTAGCTTACCATAGAGGAAAGCGTTGGAGACATCAAATTGCATGATAGACCAATTTTGGTTGAAGGCTATGGTGAATAGAGTACGGAGTGTGACCATCTTTGCAACCGGGCTGAATGTTTCATGATAATTGACTCCGTATTCTTGGTTATATTCTTGGGCCACGAGTCGTGCTTTATACCTAGATATAGTGTCGTCAGACTGGAATTTAGTACAACATGTCCCCCTTCATCCAAGAATTGACTGATTTGGCGGAGATAGGACAATTGCCTTGAGCTTCAAGAGCATTGAATTTCTCATTCATTGCTTGGCGCCGATGAACAAATTTAATGGCCTGTGTATAAGATGTGGGATCCAATGTGTCCTGTGTTTGATGGGAGAGGTTGAGTTTTTGTATGGGTTTTAGTTTGCCTTTTTTTGTTCAGGTAATCATTGAGTGTCTGTTGGAGTTTGGCTGTGAAGTGTTAATGGTGTGATCTCGGCTAGGGATCGGTAGCATGGGCAGCTTGAGGATGAGGCAACAGGAATTGGTGAGATAGGAGGAATGTACACAGGATCATTGAAAGGCCGTGTTTGTGAGTGTCGAGTACCAGCAGCGGAAGTGGGTACAAGGAGCAGCGCCGGATGGGAATGTGCTTGAGGTTTAGTTGATTGAGGACTGAGACTGTTGTAAGGAAAGGATTCTTTGTTAAACTCCACATGTCTAGAGATATAATTTTATTCAATTGAGGATTATAACATTTATATCCTTTCTTGCTTGAGAAGTAACCCATAAAGATACATGGAAGCGAACGTGGATCAAATTTGTGAGGCGTGAGAGGTCTGAGTGCTCTCAAAGACTTGGAGATGGGAATAGATTAGTGGATGATTTGGAGTGATTCATATGGTGTCATGAAAATTGATGGATTTTGATGGCATCTGGTTAATGAGTTATGTGGCAGTTAAAAGTGCTTCAACCTAGAGTATTAGAGAAAGATGAGCATTATTAAGGAGAGTTCTTGTAGTTTCAATAAGGTGCCTATGCTTGCATTCAACGACACTATTTTGTTTTGGTGTACAAGGAGAAGAGAATTGGTGCAGAATACCATTTTGGGATAAAAAATTTTAAAGGAAGGTGTACTTGTATTTACCACCGCCATCGGATCGGAATATCTGGTGTTTGGAATTAATTGTTAAGTAGTTTGATGAATGACATAGAAATTTTAGTTTTTTCAGATTTATGTTGCACTGGAAAAGTCTAACAGAAATTAGAATAATCATCAATAAACAACACATAATAAATAATGATAACCTTGATTAGAAGGAATTGGGGATGGACCTCATACATTGGAAAGGATAAGCTGAAAATGAGAATACATATGTAAGGGTTTATAAATAAATGGTTGCTTGTGACTTTTGTTGCACGTACAACTTTCACATAGTAAACTTTTTGTAGGGGTATCCTAAGAGATGGATGTTTGGTTGAGATGCTATGAAGTATATTTTGATGAGGGTGGCCTAGCCTTTTGTTCCAGGGAGAAACTGCTGAAGTTGATGTGGAGAGGGCTTGAGGTGAATGCGATGAACTGTCAGTGGAGATACATTTGGGATTGAATATAGACCATCGGAGCTGCTGCCCCGAAGTAAGATGCGGCGTGTCTATGGATCAAAGATAGAAAAACCAGCGGAATCAAAGATAATTGCTACTTTATTATCGGTGGAAAGTTTATGAACAGACAAAAGGTTATGAGATAAGGTTGGTGCATGCCATATGTTTGATAGAAGATGCATTCGTTCACGCATAGGTAATATTCCATCACCGATGTGTTGCACTTGGACTGGTTGCCCATTGCTGATGAGCACTTGGTTGGAGCCACTTGCTGGTTTAGCAACTCGAACTTGATTAAAATCAAAGGCTTGATGTGCTATTTCTCCAGAATCCAGTACCCAGGGGGATGTTTTGGTTTGTAGAGCACGGTTCATAGGTACTTAATCCAGATTTTGACGGTGCCAGCACGTCGACACAGAATGTCCAACTTTAGATTTGACGCACAACCAGGTTTCTTGATTGAGAGCGATTTCCTTTCATTTGTGGTGAGGAATAAGATTGGTTGCGGCCTCATCCTCTTAAAGTATTGGAGTGACGACCCTTAGCTGCTATTAATGCCATTTGTAAGTTAGTTGACTGTTCCTATTTCAGATTTTCACTGGCTTGATTAATCTCTTCACCACACAGAAGGGAGTAGAAATCATCAAGGTCTATTGGGTGTAGTTGCGTGTGTATAGCCACTTTGAAGGCTTGATAGCTCGCGAGTAGCCCATTTAGAGTATATAGGACGATGTCTTCCAATCTAGAGTCCTCCCAGTAGTCGATATACGGTTGTGAGGTATCGTGTCATGGACTGTTTATTCATAATCAAATTATGCAACTCATTCATCAGCTGGATCTCTGACACCATAAAGACAGGGAAGGGCAGAGAAGAGACAGGGAAGTAGTATATTGACTTTTTCCTACTGCTTAAAGGCATGCAGTGAGCACCTTATGTAGTGCTTAGAGAAAGTTCTAATAATAACATAATACATCATTTCCTAAAGTGTGGTTATGCCATGGTCTCGTACTTGGTATTATGAACTTATACATGAAAATGTGTATTTCATTTTAAAAAGGTTAAGCATAGTGGTATGGTTGATGTGATGGTAATGATTTGAGCGGTATGTATGTAAATATCAAAGTTTAGGTGTATATGTAAATATATAAGAATTGTGTGGTTTATTCCCAATCATATCTATAATCTAATTTATCTTTTTATTTAAAAATACATTCTTTTTAGTGTTCTCGTATTTATCTCATAATTTATATTTACATTTTTTTTATCTTGTCCACTATTCATATTTATATGCTTGAAAGGCCTGCTTCTGCTTCTAAAATTTTTATCAATTAATTTTTAATGGCAATCTCGTTTTTATGTTATGTTTTTTCTAGTATTTGCTATGATTAAATACCATTTCATTGGATTTCTCTCATAAATACACTTATTTTGAATATAAATTTGTTGAAATTGATGCACACACAATCTTCAATTTAATTTACAAAAATAATTAAAATTATAAATACTGTTTGATAAAAAAAGTATTTTCCGAGTATATCTTATTATAATTTTATTTATGTAAATTTCAATGCATGGCATCTTGCATAATTTGTGCCGCATGTCAATGGAAACTATTGCAACTTTTTAGATCTTTTTGTTCGTCCTCTTCTTCGATGTTGAATTGAAAAAGAAAAGATGCAATAAATTGGCATTTAAGGCTTAAAAGAACTGTTAATGGTGAGTCTTAATTTGACCATGCAGAAGACAAAGAAGAAACTACTAAGAATGGCCTATAGTTGATAGTCAAAGAAATATTTGAAAATGTTTAATGTTTGGCACCCCTTAAAAAAAATAGATGGAAGATTTACATACTTACCACTCAATTCTCATGTTTTTAAATATGTAGCACCTATATTTCCATTTTTAACGTACATGCCAACTTACCTATGCATAAGAAGCAAGGCATATTATGCCACTTGTCATTAGAGTTTAGACCAGACGTTTTTTTCTTAAGGGTGGATGCTAATTAGCTCGTTTCTAATGATTTTAGAAACTATTATTAAAGTCCAGATCAAATATCACTCATATAAATTTGTATTGAACATTCAACTTTGAAAATAATAATAATAATAATAATTGATAGCTCATCAACAAAATTATATGAGCGATGCGACTAACTACAACTTCAGTGGTCCACAGCTTACACAACTCTAATCGTCGACCTCTATAACCTACATACGCTATTGCAACTTTCCGTTCTGGCATATGTGATGAACTACGACATACATGACTTACAGCTCATGTAGCTCTCAACTCTGGCTTTTGCGGCCAACAGATGCTACTGCAACTTACCGCTACAACCATCGTGGCCAACTATAACCTATGTGGCTCAAAGCTCATGCAGCTTTCAACTCCGGCCTCTGCGACATATAGATGTAATTGCAGATTATCTCTACGGCCTATATGAAGAACTACAACCTACATGACTCACAGCTCAAGCAGCTCTCAACTCCAACAGCTATGGTCTACGGATGTTATTGCAGCTCTCTAATACCGTCTACGTGACCAATTATGACTCACGTGGCTCATAACTCTCGCAGCTCCCTTCTATGACCTTTTTGGTCAACCATTGCTTCGAAAGCAAGCATCTACGACTCGTATGACCAATTAATACCACGATTTTCGACTATGACCTCTATGACAAGTTGAAATTGCAACCACCGTTTACAATATTTATGACAGGCTACTGCCTTCATATCAACCGATTAAGACCTTTACAACTTGTTATCACCATAATTGCCAAGAACTAAATTAAAACTATTATCAAAGAACTACTGTTGCACATCCACATGTTCAACTTTATAACTCTATTTTCTATAATTCAGGACAAGAGTGGAACTATACACATAACTACATAATAGATTATTCAATTAAGTTAAACCCCGTAGTTTTTTTTATTTTTCTAAGATTTTTCATGGAAAAAGTTAACAAGTCTCCTCCTACTTCACTTTTACTTGTATGTATATTGAATCTTCGTCTAATGCTAAATTCTAAATTATTACTCTTCCTCTACGAATCTTCCGGTACCATCAACAAAACAAAAAGATAATGTGAAACAAATGAAAATTTGGCTGAAACCCCAAAATAACACTGCCCTTCTTAATCCCACAAAGTGATCTTCTGTTACAAAAATCCAATATATTTTCATTATTATAATTTAGAGGTGATATTTACATCATAATTTGCAACAAATCACATAATTGGTAGAAACAAAAACTTGGAAACAAGTTCTGATATCTTGCTATCTCCAAGATTTTTCTTTTATCATTACATTAGTCTATTGTATTACTCCGGCGATGAATTTTTAAAATTTGAATTCAAGTTTCTTACCTTCAGAGCTTCATGCTCCCCAGAACTGCTGTACAGCTCAGTAAGAACATCGAGCGAAGTACTTCCCATCAAATTCTCCACTTTAATCAATACATCATGAATCTGTCTCCCTTCTTCCAGACCCCTCATCCCAACACAAGCTCTCAGAGCATTAATCACCACAAAATGACTCATTCCATAATCCAAACTGAACATTTCTGCATAAACCTTCAATGCTTCAACATACAATCCATTCCTTACAAACCCAGCTAACAATCTTCTACATAACCCAAACTCCTTGATTTCCAATCCTTCAAAAACTCGGTAAGCAATGGCCATCTTATCACATTTCGCATACAGATTCACAAGAGCACTCAGATGTTTGTTATCTGGCTTATGCCCTAATTTGATCATATGAGCATGAATCTCCTGCCCATGTAGAAGCGCTGCTTCCATGAAAAAAGGTCGAATCATGGCGGTAAACCCTAATGCCATCACCACTTCTGCTACTGGTCCTGATCTCAGAACCATTCTTAGAACATCTGCTGCCTCTTTGGGTTGGCCATTGCCGCTGTAACCTTCTATCATAGCGGTGGAAGCCTCAATTGATGGCTCAAAAATACTGTCAAACGCCTT